TGATGGATGAGAGGCTGCTTACTTCCACGTAGGAGCTTCTGGATGTATAACACTGACACGTGTAATGCAGCTAAAGTTGAGCTACCAACGCCTGGAAAGAAGAAGGCTGCTTTTGGCTACCACTCACTCATGTTTCAAACATTTCTGCTAATTTCAAGGTGTTGCCACTATTATTGTATAATGCATATTTGCAGTGGCAAGGTGTAGGAACAGCAAGCAGCAGGGCTCAGGAATCAGTTGACAATAGCCTGATTGCAACTTCAGTTCTCAAAGTCCCATGATACTGAAGCAGTCATCTCATTCTTTGACCTAGAACCCTGTATTAGACAGACACGGACACAAATAGCTTTGAGCAGCGGAGCAGTGATTTCCCAAGGCGTGGGACGACAGATACTGTAGGTCATGGTGAGGTCAACCTCTGGGATCAGAGCTCAAAGCCTGATAGTCAGTGTCAGTGCTCGACGGAAGATGCGAAATGGGTCTAGAGCGGCGTGTCGGGAAGGCGGTTAAAAAGTCAATCTGATCCCTGAAGTGAAGCTTGAGTATCTTGAGACTAAGGAAACAAGAGCCATTAAATAAACAACATTAGTGCTGTTCAATACCATCCTGTAGCTGTGTGAGCGCTTTGCTGTTGGAATCTCCAGCCACGCCAGCAGCTCTGTGAGGCTTGAGATGAATGCTAACATCAGAACGCTAACACACTGATGTTAAGCAGGTGTGTGTATCGTGTTTGACGTTTGTACAGCTGATGGAGAATGATAGGACTCAGTAGACTTAAAGCGTCTTGTTTGTGGTCGCTCCCATTCACAGGACACGGCTCACTCATTTATTTACTGCCCACTTTAACTGTCCACAGGAGGATTCTCCCTCTGGTGTTTTCAGGCAGCAGCACAAAGAGCTTGAAACACACTTTCTGCATGTCAACAACCATCGCCTTCAGCCGTGCTGGAGGCTACAGTTGTTGACATGCCGGCGTAGAAATCATTTTACTGACAGCACATGGATAAGATCTCTTTCAGCCTGTCCTTCTTCGTGGCTATCTTATTAATTTGCTTTTGTTATTTCTGGCTCTCGGCGGAATCACGCTGTCACGATGCCACGTGAGAAGTTTTCTAGAAACTGATAGCATCGCTGAAAGATCTAAATCAGTGCAGCCTACTGGCGGTGTTACACATCTCCATGGCAACAGCAGAGCCCGTATCAGTCTGAGATCAGACTGCTCGGATGTTGAGGATGTGACCATCACGAGAGGCTCGGCTTGTTGTGGAAATTTGTTTGAGCTGAAGTTTGAAATGAATTTAAAGCCAGTTAGGACTTCCTCTTGTACAGAGGTGTCCAGAGATGGTTGTGTCCTCTTTACTTCTTCTTCTCTGGCATTAACTCCACATCTAATGACATGAAGGAGTTGCAATGTCCTCATTAGTCTGGGACGACCCCATTTGGGCTCCTCTCTTTCTTCTCTGTCTCGCTGTAATGAGAGAAGACAAGCATTCAGCAGACTCTCCCTTTGATTGAAGCCAAGAGTTGTGCAGACAGATAGGAAAGTTTTTTTTTTTTTTCTGGAGCTGAGCTGAAGCCCAGCAATTTGGTTCAGAGTGGGTCAGCTCTGAACATACGACTTCAAAATGTGACAGAAAGTTTGCATTGAAAACATTTACACACACACACACACACACACACACACACACACACACACACACACACACACACACTGGATTTACATTTGGTGTCATTTTTTCTCGTCTGAACCTCAATCTGTTGTTACTCATTTCTGAATAATACACTCCACACTAGACGTAGTCATATGGCTAAAGGGGATTATATATGGATCCACAACCCTGACTCCCAACACTAAACACACACACAAACACACACACACAGTTTACATTTCTTTGATATGAGGGGCTTCACAAAGATAAATCACTTTCTTGGCTCTATGTATAAGGCAAGTCCAGGAGGAGATTGGGTGTGAGTACATGAAAATAACAGGTAGATTTGTGTGTGTATGTGTGTGTGTGTGTGTGTGTGTGTGTGTGTGTGTGTGTGTGTGTGTGTGTGTGTGTGTCTATATAAAAGTGCAGAGTGCTGGTATAGTGCAGGTGTTGCTTTTCCTTTGGGTGCTTTTGTGCTGTGGTCACGCTGCAAAGCGTTTCCCACAGATTATTTGTTAGTCAAAGTCTGGCGACCACTCTGATGTCTTTGCGCACGAGTTATTGGCATATTCTGAGGACCACACACACACACACACACACACACACACACACACACACACACACACACACATAATGGCATCTCAGCTTTTATGTGAGGTAAAAGAATTTGGGGGAAAAAAATCCGACTTGGAATTCCAATTTGAAGAGACGTTTTGTTTCTGTTGCATTTTTCTTAGTAGGGACTTTGCGACGCCTCTTGAACGCAGCATTAGCAGAGAGGTTCGGGCCTGAGTCCAAGCAGTGGTGTGTTTGTGAGTGTGTGCATGTGAACGTGTGTGACGGGGTGATGATGGTGAAGAGTGCCAGGGAGCACTGTATCTCATCTTCTGGACAAGTCCTTAATCTGTGTGACCCAGCAAGGGATTATGGGCATTCAGGGAGAAAAATGGGGCTTGAAACTCACCCTTCGAGCCTGATAACTGACAATTTAGAGTGTTTGAGTGCAGTTTTTTTTTTTTTTTTTACTTTAAGAATTATGTCATTTGCCTCAATTTTCTTTATCCACAAGGAAATAATCTCATTGTACAGGTTTTCATTATAGTAGTAACACAAACACTAATGGGAAACTTTAAACTCTTAAATCCTGATACATCTGACTCTTGAAATGGGTAAAAAGAAACAAGCTGCACATGTTGTGGTTTTTGAATATTTTCCTGTTCTATATTTCGTGTGTTTATTGGCTTTATCTTGTAGATTTATCCCTTTTTCTTTTATGTGATGACGATTTATGAATAAATAAATGTATAAATTATTAATATTATGCACATTTGTGAATACACATGCACATTCATCAAATATATAAGGTAGTCCATCACCTCTTAAGCTATTCTACTTGCGAAAAATTGTTGTCATATTTCAGCTTCTTGATGCCCCCTTTTGAAGTTTGGGTGGTTGGATTGATAAAGTCTTGATAGTATGTTGAATGGAACAATGGAAAACACCCACCCCTACTGAGTGGTTCATGTGCAAAGTCCTGTTCCCTTTTCATTCCCTTTCACATCCTCTCATAGATTCGTTTTCGACACAAGATTGTCAGACAGCAACTCTAATGATACGGTCCATCGACACGAGTTTTGCGTTGGTCATTTGCCGATGCAGTGGATCAGGTTTCCTCATGGCTCAGTATCAAAGAGACATTCAAATGTCAAAAAGTCAGTGTGATGGGCGACCCCCTTTGATTCACCAGCATATGGTGCGGGGTGGGTGTTAATTTCACCCCTCGGGGTAAAGGGATCCACTAAATGTCATATATGTCGTGTTAGCTGTTCTGGTGTCTGATGTTGTGTTGGATGAAAACGTCAGGGGCTGAAGGGGGGGGGGGGGGGGGGGGGGGGGGGGGGTACACAGGCCTCTGTTTGCAGTGTGTGTGTGTGTGTGTGTGTGGGGGGGTTCCTAGACTGTTGTGTGGGCTGAGCTTTGTCTGAAACAGGGCCACGTGGACCTGAATTAAAATCTTATTTAAGAGGATTCAGGACAGATGGCATCCCATTGTTTGAGGATGTGTTTATTATTAGAAAACGGGGGTTTATCCCCCCTTCTCCGGATAAACACACCACACCCTCTTTTAACCATTTTCTCAGGGGTTCAAGGTCTCACCTAGGTTGATTTCTCATTGGCCTGTGGGATCCTGGGCTAAGCCAATCAGCATCCTCGAAGGCAAACAAAGACTCCCATCTTTAAGTAAAGCCTGGCACATGGCTGTTTAGTAGTTAAGAAGCTCTGATTGGTCAAATGTGATCCAATCAAATCAGTTTAAGTGAAGCTGTTTTCCCCACAACTGGGGAAAGTATCTTTAAACACAAACAGGAGTGTGACAACTTGGAAACAGAAACATCACATTATGCAACGCACAGTTTGTGTTTGTTGCTCGTCCTCTTCATCCCAGTGGGGCTAAAGTCTTGACATGAGTGTTGGACCTTGCTGCCACATGCTCGCTGACTTGTTGTGACTGTAATGTCATCATACAGTGCACAACCGCAGCACCGACTGGCTGCTTAGAATAACTAAAGTGTTAAATTAACTGATGAGCGCTGATGTTTTTTTTCATTCTCAGGTTGAAAATTTAAGCTCATTCCACTTTGATGTGGAAGGAAGCCAGAAACCACCACATCTCTCCCAGCTTCTCACCCACATTCACACTTTTATCTTAAACACTTACACTCTCTTATAGCCCACTACAACCCCCCCCCTCCCTTACTGACTCTCTCTCTCTCTCTCATTTCTCTCTCAACTCACCAGATGGAGAGGGGGCGGCCATGTGTGTGTGTGTGTGAGTGTGTGTTTATTCACGCATGCATGGTTACCCATGAGTTTGCATATTTACATTCCCTGCACATTTTGTCCTTATATCCTCCTCTGCTTCACTGAGGCAAAGAATAAAGAATAAAGAAAAAAGAAAAAAAAGATCAGCTGTTGTCAGACACAGGAAACCACGGATGAAAATGCCAGAATGTTAAGTGAATAAGAAAAGACAAGAGATGGAGAGATATTTAAGGAGTGTGTGACACCATCAGCACAGTTAAGAGTGATTTTAGGGGCCAAAAAGTGTTATCTGGCATCAGTTGGGGGGCGGCTAATCCGCATGTGCGAAATAAATCCAATGTGACAGGGCCTTTGCATCTTGAAACTGGATTGTTAATATACACAGAGAGACAGTGCTAAGCTTTAACAGGGAGAGAGAGAGAGAGAGAGAGAGAAAGAGCGAGAGGGAGGGGGAGGGAGGGTGTGTACGAGAGACAGAGAGAGAGAGAGAGAGAGAGAGAGAGAGAGAGAGAGAGAGAGCATCAAGTCACCGGGATAGGCTCCACTATCCTCACACTGTAAGGTACAAGTGCCACAAGGAGACTATATTCCTCTGAAATAATGGATGGGACAAAGCCGGCCATGGAGTCCAACGCGGAGGAGACTCAGGACGAGGGGCAGGAGAGCAAAGGTACGCTCAATGAGCCGCTGACATTTGCGCGTTTTTTGGGTTTTTTTTTGTGTGTGTGTGTGTGTGTATTTTCTTTGGAGACATTTGCGTCTGCGCCAGCCCGAGCGGGTTTAACCTACTTGCAATGGCTTCTCGCCTGTGCGCGACACAATAGCGCTGCATTTTTCTCTTCACCTATCGCCATTTGAGGGCGATTTTTATGGGGGGGCAATAAGCGCAGGTGGCGGGAGATTATTCCCACAAATCCACGGCGCAAATGTTCTGTGTTATTTTTGCGCCTTCAGAAAAAGGGGGATTTGGAGGCTGGTGGAGGAGAATAAGAGGGTGGGCGGGTTGATGGCTTGTGGAAGGTGCACGGTCTGGTTTTATGGAGCATACTAATGCCAATTTGTTTTTGCATTGCCGCACCATCATCATGCCTAATGAGCGGCTGATAAGGAAGGCTGTGCGCTGCGACGCGCCGCGCTGCCCTCCGTGCACGGCTGCATTGTTTTCCGTCAGGTGTGGAGGCGCCGCTTCCATGATCCTCCCGCCGCAGCCGCTTCGATTATTATCGGCGACCCCCCCACCACCCCCCTGACTCCCCCTCCTCGTCTCCCCTCCCACCCCACCACACACACAGGCTTGCTGTCTGATCCGTTCAGGGGCGTGATAAATTGCCATGCAACATATGAACAGAATGATGGCGCGTGTTTTTAGTATGACCGACGTGATCAGGTGCTTCAGACAAACAGGAGGCTGCAAGAGAAACAATCAACGGTGCGCTTGACGCAGAGGGACGGCTGTGCCCATCAGTTCCAACCCCGGCCGCTCAGACATGTTAATGGACCCTGTGTAGGGTTCATACATGCAGGTCTGGCTTTATAGAAGATGCTCTGCAGTAAATCCCACAGCATCACTTTGAATGCACAAAAATCCTCTTTAAAAAACATTCATGTGCATGCAAAATCAATTCAAATATATTTATCCATGTGCACACTGAAGAGCAACCTTAAATTTGGTCGATTGAGTCCAAATGATGCCAAACTGTTGCTGTTTTCTCTGCTCATTCTCAACCTGTGTTGTGTAGGCGTGTCTTTGTGCGTCGGAGGACTCGACGCCCATACAGATGTGGATGTGACTGATTTGTTTTCAGTGTCTTGGTGGTGAAATCACATCCTTCAGTTTGCAGGCAGTTAGCGGAGGAGCTCACTGATAGCAGGCTGTCAATTATGTCCATCTTGTTTATAGATCTGCTCATGAAGGTGTGACCTGTGTTCATCATGGGGATTAAAATGGGGAAAACAACTAAGCATGATGATGATGATGATGATGATGATGATGATGATGATGATGATGATTGGGGGGGTCGACATGCTTTTTTAAAAATGTATTTACATGTAGTATATTAGTCAGCAGCAGTGATGCAGCTGATCTGGCAGGATGCCTTTTAGGCCTCTTGGCTGTTAGAGAGCAGGGTAGATGATACCGAGTAGAGTGCATGGACCTGAGGGGCTTTACACACACTCAGCTTCATGTGTGCCAGTGTGTTAAAATGACAGGGGGGTGTGTTTGAAAAGATGCATTTTAGAAGCTCCAGCATGTACAAAATGGAGCGATTAAGGCCGGTTTATACTCCTGCACAGGGTCGACGCCATTGTGAGCATTTATACTTGTGCGCTGGTGCGACCGCATCGCTCTCTAATCGGTGGCAGTGACACTCCCACTTCAAAACAGTGGCCACTGAAACCGAGCGGATCATGTTGGAGTTGGAGCCAATAAATGTTGGGACAGTTACTTTTACTGAAATTACCGCACCTGCAAAGACGTCCAAGGAGAAGGGGGTGTACGACCATCGTGTGATGCAATGCTACCAAGCTAGTTGGGAGGTGGACGTCAGGCTATGGCGGAGGGTACGCGGCTACAACGTATCAAGGGTGTCAATTCTATGCAGATTTATCAACTGGCCTTAATAAGTGTGACATGAAGTGTTAGATTTCATGGATGGATTTTGGAAGGAAATATTGAGCCGTTGAGTTCTGGTTGTTTTAGAGAGGCTGTCGTGATTTAAAGTGCCGGATTTTCATTCTTTATTCAGATTTTTGTGACTTTAAAATTTCCGCACCAACACACTTTCTCCTGCAGCAGGAGCTGGACCCGGGCACAGTGTTATTACTGGGTCACAGTGTGTCTGTGACGTACGCTTCAGAAGAGTGGGGTGTCCCTCAACAGTGATGTTTTAAAAAAGACATTACATCATCTTCTCCCGGGGCACGCTGCTACACACAGGCCAGTGTCCAATGAGAGTTCACACCGTGCACTTCAGTAAACGGCGTGCCTGTGAGAAGACGTTGAGGATAGTTGAGCGGGACAGCGGCCATATTTATAGGGATAGCAGTTAACCCCTCTGAATTCTTTAATCACCATTTTATGTGGAAGCAATGAAATGATCACATTTGTGCGTTCACCCAGTTCAGCCTCTGCAGCCTGGACTGCTGTGCTCCAGGTGTGATGTTGCGCAACCGTATCCACCCACACCAGCGCACCAAAATAGACTGGATTGGAAGCTGGCCCGTTTGTCAGTGTAATCATTTGTGTGTCTGTCTTTGACATCTGGAATGTGACCATCAGCTTATAGCATCCATCAAGAGGCTGAAGATTTACAGTGGGGGGGGGCAAGAAGGCGAGAGCTGTCATGTAAGGAGCTTGTGTCGGTGTGTGCCAGCGCTGCCTCTTCAGCTCCACTATGACATGTTTCTGATTCAGGAAGTAGATGGAGAAAGTTTCCAGTGGTGTAGTGTAAAAAACTACACCAACTATACTCTTGCACATGCAAAAAGCCATGCCCCAAGCCCCGCCCACCTGGACCCACCATCCAACCTTGCAGGATTTGGTGTGTCTAAGTGTTTACCTGTGATCTGCTATATTTTTACTTGATCACTAAGGCAGCCAATCAGAAGAGAGGAGGCTCTGAGGCTCACCGACCTGTTATTACGAGAGGTCGAGAGAGAAGCCTGAGAGAGGAGATGTAAAACCACACTGAGATGGTTTTTGGTTCGTAAAACCACAAATATATCTTATATAAACGTATATAAACCCTTCAAATAAAATACAGGAAAAGTGTAAAATATGGGACCTTTAACTTGAGCATTTCCCCTCTCTCTACTTATTCTCCACCACATTTCAGAGGGGAATATTTTACATTTTACTCCACTACCTTTATTCATTAATTATTGATTAGATTTTATATTAAAAAAAACCCCAATGATTAATTTATAAAATATGATGCAGTATGTAAAACAGCTCCACTTTGACCGGCTACAACATTAAAATAATGCTTACACACTTATATATTGCCCCAGTAACATTAATCGAATGTTATAATGTGTAATGATATGACACTGACAGGAGCAGTTCCCATGTATAATAACTCCTATTACTTTTATACACAAATTAGATTTTACTTGTAATACTTTTACATGTACTTTTACTTGTACAGAATGGTATTGCTACTTTAAGACTGGAAATGGCGAGCTAACTCGCATCTTGTCCGTTTAAACCGCAATAATTAGCAAAACCTTTTCGTCTCAAAGACATTAAGTATGATAAAAAAATAAGAGCTCCGTTTTCACTGCACAGTTAGGATTTTCAGAGCACATGCGACTTATTTTAGCATCACGTTCACAGTTTTGCTGTGAGGAGCATGCTGATTAGCTCTGCCGTAATTATGGTAAACAGAGTCCGTGTTCTTGATTGCGCCGCTGTTGTGTCTCTGTGCAGCGTCTCTGCACGACATTGAGCTGAGAGTAATTACAGACTGGAAAATGAACAGGGAACACAGGCATGGTTTATAATCCGGAGGTGCTGGGTATGGATTGATCTTTTTTGCCTGATTGCTTCCTATAATCTCTAATCTGTATGTCTGTGGAGGTACACCATGCTCAGGACTCGGATAACGAGACATCAGCTACGCTCTCTGAGGTACAATTAAATCTGATTTCATTAGTATGAGACAGTTTGATTAGAAAAAGCAAGCCTCCCATGTGACGTTTTTATTTTCACCTTTGATGCAGCTCCGTAAAGCGGCTTTGAGTGTTTCACGGTGGCCCTGAGTGCATTTCAACTTAACCTTATTGCATCTGTCTGTCCTCCCCTTTGTTTTAAATGATTGGCCTGTTCACACACACACACACGTACATACACACACCTTCCTTCCTCCCTTTCCCTATGTGTGTGTGTGTGCGCTCTTACATAACGCATCGCTGGCTCTCTGTCCTTGGCTATGATGTTCAGATCAGAACCGTAAGAGATTACATCACCGTCTGGAGGGGTGCAGGTTTTGTTGAATTTTCTGCATGGAAGGGCAGAGCTACTGCAGCCTCTGAAGGACAAAGAGAGTTCCTCTTAATCAGTGTGTCATCTTTTTTTCCCCCACAGTAAAATCCATGATGTAGATGTGGAAATCTTTAAATTAATACATCAACATTTTGTGAAATCTACTCAAACACTGTCCCCTGTGCCCCATCTTCATCTTCATAATCATAACGGATTCACTGAGTCTGGTGGTACCCAACCTTTCAAGACTCCCCAAGGAGTCGCAATGGATAATAGAAAGAAACTTTTTGGATACTTTTACCTCCTCGGGCTTCTGAAAATCCATTAAAATGGAAATGGACTTCCGAACTGCTCACAGCTTATGTCCACATGAAGGGACATCTTATCTCCAAGGGGTTGAAAGGAGATTTATTGGTTTGTTTTAAAGGGGTCAAAAGGAACCAAAAAGGGTTCTGCACTTGTCATTTAGTTGACAGACAGATTTGGAGTGATCATCAATATATTATTTCAGTCATTTTTAAGCAAAAATGCTTCAAAGTCAAATGTGAATATTTGCTGGTTTCTCTTCTATGGCGTTAAATCAAACATCTTTGGGTTTTTGACCGTTGTCAGACAAAACAAGCAAACTGTAAATGTCACCTTATAGGCCAACTTGTCAGTATATGTAAACCAAATTAATGATGGAG